ATCAAATCAAAGTGGCTGCGCCCATGTCTTTAATACAGTATATTCCAACATATTTGACCTTGAGGTGTGCGGCTTATTGGGTAAGCGTCTTGTTGTATCACCATGCCCGCACCGCAATAAACCTCCAAATGTTTTTGGTAAACATGTGAAAGCGAGAGATTCAGGAATCCGACGTTTCAGTTCCTGACTTCTTCAAGTGCTTCGATAATAACATAAGCGTTATTTGTAGCACATAGCGGAATTTCTCCACCAAAAATTCAACCCTTCGGATGAAAACCGCCCATATCGAAGCAAGCTGATTAATAAATTCGGTTGCAACTGAGGTAAGCAGTGAACAACCAATTTTGAGGATAATCCGGGTGGATTAACTAATCTTATACGGAAAAGGATTTCTAAATTTGAATTGCCGAAGTCAGCGGATGAAAAGCTGGTAATGCACACCCAACAAACCGGGGCATGCATTTATTAGTTTTGCCAACAAATTCAAATTGCATTGATCGTCCTTTTGGCTTCTTGTTCATCTCACTATCGAATGTCCAGTGGTTGTCGAGCATGACAACAGGCTGCAAAGGGTAATCTGTTAATCTAGTTTTCCCAATAAATACGTTTCATTGGTCTTAAAAAATGAATCTTCCCTCCTGAGGAGTCCGGTGGCGATGTGCGCCTCGTTTGCTTCTCGTACGAAGCATTCTGGAAAGTGCAATATTTGTTGCAATGATCCTGATGGTTTTCGGTGACTGCCACGCTTGCAATGCATTCGTAGGAAGCCGAAATTTTCAAGAAAGGTGACAGATTCTCTTGTGAAAACCGCAGAGGAATTAGTTCAGTCAAGATTTCCACTAAACGTCTCCATCGATTGTCTGCCGCACATGCAGGGTGCACGAGTGAGTACCAGGCTGGTTTCAGACCTGGTCGAAATTGTCTAAACCAAATTTTCACTGTTCGTCAAATTTTAGAACACACACTTTCCTTTCGTAGACCAACAATCTCTATCTTCCTCGATCTGAGAGCGGCCTTCGAATCAGTCGACCGCTCCGTACTCCATCTGACGACTGTGCCCGAGAATTTAATCTAAATATTACAATACCATTATGCTAATAGCCGAAGTCTAGTCCGAGCTTACAGCATTTTTTCACCCGAGTTCACTACAGAAAGTGGTGCTCGTCAGGGTTGTCCTTTTTCTCCATTCCTATTTAACTTTGGTAAAAATCTGATCATGAAAACAGCCCTATCCTCGTGCGAGGATAGCGGTATCGATTTACTTCCAGGTTACAGACTGTCTGATCTAGAGTATGCAGACGACATCGTGTTACTAAGTGAAGATCCAGGTGAGTTGCAAGCTTTTCTGGATAGTTTGAGTGCTAGTGTAACCAGATTCAGTATGCATTTTGTACCTTCAAAGTGTAAAATGCTACTACAAGATTGGGTTGATCCAACGCCCAGTCTCACCCTAACTGGGGAAGTAGTAGAGGAAGCAGACAAATATTGCTATCTAAGCAGCTATATCTCACCAGGTGGAGGCATCACGGATGAAGTGTCGGCGCGCATACAAAAGGCTCGATTGGCATTTG